GTGAATAGTGGCACATTTTGTGATTGCTATGGGTCCTTGTCAGCCATTCTTCCATCTTTCATCCAATATCCCGACACTCGTCAGGCCAGTGCTTAGTCCTGGGAAAACTTTGAGCTAAATTCTCGGATTTGCTTTCCCACGCAGCAATCCTGTGCCTGTTTCCACCAGAGATTCTGCCATGCTGCGCTGAAATGTTCCACTCACCAGTCTGTCTCCTCTGCTAGACTGTGAGCTCTGCGAAGGGATAAATGATGTTTTATTCACAATTGTTCCCCAGGGCCTAGACTGGTAGATTCTTAACAAATAATTCTTGAATGAATGCGTTAATATTGAGTGTTTTACTGTCATCATTGTCACCACCACCCTTATCATGACCACCATCACTAGTACCACCACCACCAATACCACCATCTTATCATATTTGGTACCTAATCCTGTCTGGGCACTTTTTCTCCAGGGTTCCAGTGCCTTGACTGTTTCGAATCCTCTGATTTACACCTTTCTTTACTTATTCTCCTATTTCAAAATTCACCTTATCTGGGCTCTATTCCGTTGGGGCTCACTGTTCTTTTCTAGGAGACAGCTCCTCAATTTGATATAGTAATTGTTATTGGTAATAATGTGTTGGTAGTGGCCCTCTAAGGTAATATGATCTGAGAGTAAGGACAGTATCTAGTTCCAGCTCAGCCACTTATTTGCCGCATGACTTTATGTGAGTGACATCACTTCAAAGGGCCTCTGCTTCCTCACTTAGGAGACCCCTGGTGAGTCTTCCTGATCTCACTTGCTAGTTCTGTGCATATTTCCACACAGATCTTTTATTGGTAACATCTTACCCACAGGAGCAAAGCTGGATGGAAGTGAGATATTTAGGGTTTTCACAGTGAATATATGATTGGGTATCTGCAGTAACAGCAGCCATTTCAGCAGCAGCTGTGTCTCCTTGGGGGAACTCCCTGCCCACAGTTGCTGCCAGATCAAATCAGTCATGAGGCAGAAACAGGCACAGACAGGTAACCACCCTGCAGCAATGCCAGGTTATTGTCACAGTCTTCCCCTTTCCCCAGGACCATGCTGTTCTTGTCATAACATGTCATGCCCAGCTGTTCTGATAGTCTGACTGGGAGCTCAGAGTCCATGTCTGGCTTCCTCACGGCAACTGAGGGCCAGCAATGGAATGCTTTATTAATGCCGCGTGAGTGAAGTCAATTTTCAGATGGCACAAAACATCCTTCTTAACTTTTCCTGGCAATTTTCCTGGTGGAAACTGTCACATCAGAAATGCATTGGAAAGAAAACAGCAATCAAGCAATGCAATTTAAAGGAAGAAGTATAACCTTGGGCAAGTTTCTTCTTTTTTCTAATTTCTTCTCCTTTTTTTCTCTTTTAAATCAATCTGCAGTATAGCTTCGGTAAAATGCACCACTCAGTATTTAGAAGAGCCTAAATAAAACTTAGCTTATGTAAGGTTATAACATCTCAGGCCTAATCCCCAGACAATGAGAATGCAGGATTTTTGGATTTCTGTCTCCTGGGAAAGTCCTATAGCCCAAGGCTGTCCAGAATGTCATAAACTTATCCTACTTTTACATCAAAGTGAAATAACAGCAACTCAAAATAAGAACAAGGGAAGATATTGAATTTATAAAGGGAAAAAATAGAAGAAAGGAGAGCACTGTTTTGAAGAATAAAAGGATATTCTTGATGCCACTGGGAATAACAAATGTGGTTTGAGTACAGAGATAAAATTTCATTTGAAAGATGAAGATGTGAGGTAAGGAGAGGTGAGTGATTTATCCTGGGTCACATACGAAGTTAACAGCAGACCCAGAACCAATGTCTGAGCTGACATGGGTGAAGGCTCTTCCCACACGATGCTGCCTCCACTTTCTCTCCAACAGAGGAATGAAAACCAGTGGCTTCGAATGAGTTAAGATCCTCTACACAGGTGAGAAGAGAGTGTTATTGATATTCCACAGGCAGGGAAACTGAGCCACCAGAGGGGTTTAGTGCTATGGTCCTCACTAAGGGTGACTTTTACCCCCAGGCAATATTTGGCAATATCTGGAAACATTTTTGGTCATCACAACTGGTAGGGAAAAGATGCTATTTGCATCTCCTGGGTAGAAGCTAGGGGTGCTGCTGAACACCTACCTGTCGGATGCACAGGACAGCCCCTGCAACAAGTGATTATCCAAGGTTGTCTACTGGACAATAAACGTTTTTATGAGGGGATTGTACACTTAAAATCCAGATTCATATTATTATTATCATTAAAAAGTTTGCACAATTTGGGTTATCTTTGCTTCTTTTTCCTTTCTTAGCATCATCCACCCACCTGTTCCCTGCAAACTCTTTGTCAACCTTCAGTGCTAGACTTGGCCTTGACCACAGTAAACAAATTTGCCTTTGGAGCCCCAGTCATGTGCTCCTGTGCCTTGTCCCCACTCGGCTCCACCCTCTTCAGACACCTGGCGAGGGCTGAGTTCCTCAGCCCCACTCTTTCCTGGCAACCCCTGCTCTCAGGAAAGTTCCCCCTTCCTTCACTCTCATCATGCACTGAAGTCAGTGTGTTACCATTTCCGGGAATTTGCAGGTCACGTGTATCTCTGTTCCAGCATTTATATCCTGAGAAAGGGATTTGCAGCCTCAGTGACCAGGCTGGGGAGAGGTTTGAGAGGAACTCAGGAAAGAACCGTACAGCAGCCTCCGTTCTAGAAGACACCCAGGTGCCATCTCCCTGGGAATCGGGGTTCTGGCTAGACTCCTGCAACTTCAAAACATTTTCTTCCTAGGCCCTCTGAATACATCTTTTCACATTTTGGGACAAATCTTTAATTGAGAAGTCTAAAGGTTTTTTTGTTCTTTATTTTTGTTTAACTACACTCAGAAATTTCACCATAGATTTCTGGACTTTTGAACGGGAGAACAACAGCCCGAATGGCCAAAGAAGAGTTGATCTTTTCTATCATCTTTTTTATAGATTTTTAGAGTCTCAATATGTTAGTTTTTAAATTCATTATAACTGAATAGATTTTGAAAAGATTCTAAGGAATAAAGCAGATAATAGAGATGAAAGGGTTTTGAAAACTATCAGACATTTTGCATCTGCAAACACTGGCATGGTAGCAATAGAGCTATTGCTCTAAATGGCCCAGGCAAGCGCTCTACCCCTTAACACCCAAGGCCTCCCCCTCCAAAAATAAAACCAGACCAAACCAAACCAATCTCCAGATAGTTTCTCTCTGTCTAGTTCTAAACCTTTTAATTGAGGTATACATTTTCAAAATTAGAACTTCATAAGCTTTATATGATTAATAAAATTTCAAGGCCATTCGCATTAGGATTATGTGCTTATTCACTACTTAACAGCTTTCTGCTTGGCCAGGTGCCATCACAGACAGCACTGGGTTAGCTGCTTCACGCGTTTGTCCCTCTTGCATTGGTTTGTGTTAGACAGTGATTTCTGATTTCTGGATTAGTAAAAATACATATAATGTGAGAGTAAGCTTAGGCTGATGAGCATGCCATTTTGGAAAGCTCAACAAGAAATTAATTTACATTAATCACTGCTAGCTAGCGCTTCCCTCCTCACTGCAAACTTGGCCACAGTAACTTCAAAGAAGAACGAAAAGGGAAATCTTGTCTGTGAAACAGGAAAAATAGTGATTGACTGCAGGCCTAATACGTGGTGCTATATATGGTTATTACAAAGAGAGTCCTACATTCTTTAGAATCCATTGTTGTCTTTTCACTTTGCAACATAAACTAACAGAAAACAAAACTGCCTTTAGATGTTAGTTTCCACCTTCACTTTTTAAGCTCCACTGTTTCTTAAATTTACATGTAGCTTAGTTATTAATAAAATAAAAATGACCCTTCTTAAAAGCTAACCAGAAATTACATTTCGCATCATTCTCAGTCTAATATTTTGTATGAACGATATTGATTTTGTTTAACTCAAAAGAGTATACAAAACCAAACTCAAAGATAAAATTCTTCCGAAGAGGGAATTTTTTAGAAAACTTAAGGAAACTTGCAATACAAAGATTTTGCCTTAGTCTTTGATTGTACGAAATGCCACCCAGCTTAATGTTTCTTCAGAAATATTCTACTCTTGAACCAGATTTGATATGCTTTTCCACTCCAAGGACTGGTGCTAGGTGCTGGGTATATCAGTTCAGTGCAGGACTCTGCAGGGACTCGACACCACAATGAATCCACGTCCCATGCCTGGCCCCACCCTTCCCACTCGCGGGAGTTCTATCTCCTCTCTCAGCAAACTGTTCCACTGAAGGATCTTTGCATTTCCAAAGATGTTCAGGATCTCCCACAGAGAGCAACATGGAAGGTAGAAAATGTCTAGATTTGAGGTCAGCAGACCTGGACTCTAGCTGAGGCTTATCACTGGCAAGCTGTCCTCACCTGTGTCCTAACTTGTAAAAGCTCATGAGGCATGCATACCCATCCTGCTGACCTCACAGGATTGCCACCAAGAATCAGTACCCACTCATAAGTGAGGAAGCCCTGTGGTGAGGTATCATTGTAACAGGAGCCACGATTGTCGGATAGAGTCATTCATTTTGCTACTCTTACTATTAATGAAAATGAAGAAAAGCTGCATCTTGCACATCTTCTTCTGTACTCCTTGATATTTGGTTGATACATTGTTTGATTATAGTCACTGACATTTTTGTCATGGTTACTTCTCAGTCCCCAGCCAAGGGGTTCTTAAGAATAACTGGGCTATAGTATCTGGTATCTATCACCAGGTGTCTGAAGCCAAAGAAACATACCATATTGAGACGGGAACTGTGTTTTATAGCACAGGACAAGCTCAGGGAACTCCCAGAGCTACACTAGGTATCATAAGCCAGAATCTTACAAATAAAAGTTTGTTACGTATAAGTCATCATGTCAACAGCTCTTGATGAACTGGCATCCAGACGGAGGCAAATGACATACGCCCTAGATTTTCGTAGTCGCTAGCTATTGCTTACCATCGCAGACCCCACGCGGCTGACTTTGATGGGATTACCTCTACCAGAGAGGTCCATCTGTGCTCTGTCCATCACGAACAGGCAAGCGTCGAGGAGGCCATCTTCAAACTATTTGGGGGAAAAAAATGAGAAACTATGTAATGTCCACTCTGCAAACAAGATATTCTCTGATGAAAAATAAAATGAAACCATAACCTAAGCTTTAGAAATGTGTATATCTGATATAGTAATCTCCCATAATCTTGAGCATGAAATATTGAAGTGAAAGGAAGGGGACATCCTCTTTTATTTTTCAGTGAAGGGAATAAGAACATAAAAAGCAAGCCAGAAACATAAGCAGAACTACCAGAAAGCTGATGTGCTCAGGGATCATGAACTGCCTTGAAGCTCTTCAGAAAGTGGTACAAGTTAATTTAGAAGATCTCTCCAACATACTGGCTCCAGTGCCCAAGGTGGAGGAACGGATGATTTACCAGAGTCAGGCCAGAGTCTCAAGACTTCACAAGTAACACAAGTCCTCAAGCATCTCAAAAATAAACGGCTTTCAGATGTACTGCAGAAAGGTACTTCAGGCCTAGTTAGCTGGACCCAGAATAGTAGGAGTTCTCATGTAGTAACAACCATGCCTCTAAGTTTTCCCTCTTCTGAGACAAGGTGGCTCCAGGGTCGGGGAGAAGGCAGAAAGTCCTGGAGAAGATTAATTACACTATGCAGGGAAGAGCCTGGTACAAGTTCAATTTCCTTAGAAAGAAATGCTAGCCAAAGGCAATACCAGAATTTTCTTAAAAAGGAATAAAAACCAAACAGTAATAAAATGACAAAATGGGAAGATTTTACCTACACTGTAGCTCACTGCAATAGGAGATTTCCTTGAACACAGAAACCTTACCTGTTATCTACCCACATACTTGTGACAGAAACCACAATCTTAATGGCTAATTACCTGTAATTATTTATTAAATGCAGTTAGAATACCAGCTCTGAGTGTAGCCCACACTGATGGGATGGATGCAGTCATGGGTAACCGTCCTAGTTCTTCAGGTATATAAATACCTTACTCTGGTTCTTATTAAGCAGCATTTTTCAGCTGTGTTTATGGGATATAACAGCAACTAGCTGGAGAGTTAACGAGGTAGTCATAGAACTAGTTGTTTCCTTGCATCACTGCAAACAACTGGCTTGGTTGGTTATTTTGGCTGAAGGACCCAAATCAAAGGCCTCTTTGAATGACAGTAGATGCAGACAGTGCCTCCGCTTGTGGGTGCCCACCCGAAGGCATGGGGAGTGCCCTGACTGTGCAGGGACACTTTCCCAGTTCTCCTTGCTGCACACAGTGATACCTTTTCCTTTATTAGCTTTCTACAGATTGTCACATTGGGGCCATAAATAGAACCGCTAGGCTAAAGGCTAAGAATTGGGGACAGTAGTCAAAGTTTGCACGTCACTGAGGAAGGGGAGGGCTTGTAACCAGGGAGCCAGGCAGGAATCCAAAGACAGGGGAAGTAAATGTAGATCATGGCTTGGCAGGACATCAGAAACGCAGGCAGGAAAGCCTGAGCACTGGGCGTGTAATCCCCAGGAGTCAGGGTGAAGATGCTGGCCACAGTGCCAGGTAGGCAGGATGGCACAGGCACCAATGGTCAGGCTGGAGCAGTGGTGAGGGACACAGGGAGATTCCATATGGAAGTCAAAGCAAGGGACTTGGAGCCAAGAAAGTACCGTGTGACCTGGTGCAGTCAGATTCTGTGAAATCGCTCCCCTGGACACCCAGAGCAGTGATGCACAAGTCTAGTCTCGCCAGCCAAAGCTCCCTGGGAGATGGCACACTTCCCTCCTCTCATGTTGCTAATTAAAATCACTTTTGAATCACAGGATATGTATGCATTTATGGAAAAAATGGTAAAATATCATTCATTTGCCCCATTGTTAAAGACACCAAACTGAAATCATTTGAATTATTGAATATCTTTAAAAAATATCATTGGCTGCTTTGTATCTAGACAGTAACTTGAGGTTGCAGCTGATAAAATGTTTCTACAAAGCCCAGTGGGCCCTTCTTTGACAAAATGGTAACATCCTTTTCTAATTAGCAGTATCCTAGACTAATACTTTAAAAAGAAAAGTTATTTCTTTGAGTTGGGCAGTCACCTTGCTGTATTCTTTGCATCATTATCAAAATACTTTTCTATATAAGAAAAGGAAAACTTCGGTCCATTCCAGGTCGAGCTAATGAGATTTCACTGCATTAAGATGCGAAAGCATTTCTCAATAGAATGCCACATTATCCGTGGAATCTTTCTGCTCTGTAACATTGTAATAACCACAGATATGTGGTTTCAGCTGATAAATTATTCAGTTGTCTTTATAAGTCTCTATTGCTATGCGCTCTGCCTTGGAGTCTCGGATCCTGAAAAGCAGGAAATTGTGCTTGTCTAATATTGATCTATGGCACCCTGTAGGGATACACGTGACAAAAAAATATTAAGTAAAAATATCCTTGACAATGACAGATTGTAAATGGCTCACCTGACCATAGCTCCAGCTTCTAGTCTTGATCTCATTGACATCTCCGTAAAAAATTACCCCGATGTCGTTCAGGACATACTCTTCTCTTTCCTTCTCATTGTCCAGATACACAGCATCCTCTGTGTCAGGATTTAAGCATAATGACCATTACCAAACCAGGCTCTCTCCAAATACTTGCAAGTGTATTTTGTTCTTAAACTGTAATTTAATCAATTAAATGAAAAAAATGTCTTTTGTTTCGCTAAGCATACCTCATTTCCCAACATTTTTAGCAACAGTGAACATCATCAGCACCAAAGATCAGCCTGTAAATGATGACATTTGTCAGCAAAAAGCCGACAAACTCTGGCTCTTTAAGTTCCAAGCAGCACAATTAAATCGATATGTCTCATTAAACATTTTATGATTCCAGTGCATCAGTAGTTTGAGAATCAGAGTTCTATGATGCAGACACAAATCTCTGACACAGACCAAAAAACAATTTCCAATCTTTTAATGTTAAGAGAAAACTAGCTGAATTGAAAATGATTTTTAAAACAAATCTGGGACACATATGAACACAGCAGCATCATTTATCACGTCTGGTTTGTGGCTCACGGCTGACAGGAGAAGGGAAGCTGTAAGTTGTCTCCTTTCAGTGAAAAATACTTGTGAATGTGTTTGTAGGTGTGTGTGCTCACCCAGCCTCCCTGGTCGGTTTGTTCCACTGAAGGACTTCCCTTCCCCATGGCTATAATCTCAGGAAGGCCACGCTCCCCATCCACCCACTTAGTAATCAGCCTGGCACTTACTCCCAGGCCTGGTATGAGAACAGCAAAGCATCTTTAACATAGGCTGGACCCGACAAGTGTAAATCACACCCAGGTAAATTTGTGTGTTTGGAATAGGTATCCAGACTTTCTTATGTGAATTCTACCTCAAGCTTATAAAATAATTGATGTTAATAAATGCAGAAGGAAGGATAGAATCTGAATATCACCATTTTGCAATCCCTAATGAAACAACGGATCGAGGCTGAAATAATTGGTTAAGAGGGGAGCTTCGTAAGGGATGGAGGAGACTCACAAAACCTGATCTTACTGATGAATCTAAACATGCATCTCTCGAAAGGATGAATGCTCTGGGAAGCACGTAGCATGACTTATGAAGAATTTTTACCATACCCCCTAACCCCCACCAGAAAGAAAACACTTGAAACTGAATATGATTGAGTCCCTAGATTAACTAACTGCTTAACAGAAAACACCATAGGTGTTAGGGAAACATATTTCATGACACCAGGGTATGGAATCAGCAAAATTCAAACATGGAAAATTCTGTGCGGCAAATGATTCAGTTCCAGCAACAAGTTTGTGGCATGACAAAAACAGATAAAGAGGTTTGCTCTGGAGAAAAAGACTTAAGACAACAAAATTTAATATATAGAGCTTAATTCAAACAAACTACAAAAATATTTTTTAGACATTGGGGAAGTTTGATTAAAGATGGATCATTAAGTAATACTTCCTAGGAACCCTCGTAGAATGTTATTAGCTGTAATAATTATTCACATACACATAAACACATATATATATACATATATATACGTGTACACTGTATATATGTCTATTTTTAAAAAGATGCATGCTAAAATACG